TGCGAGAGCAGGAGTTTCTCAAGAAGCGATCCTTGGGCCAACCCCATTTTCGTTATTCGCAAGTGACCTCCGCATTAAAATCTCCTCATCTTTCCTCTCTTCCGCCAAAAAAAACATCAAAATATGGAGGACGATAGGTGACGAAGAGGATCCCGGGATACTCCAGAACGGCCTGTTGCAGCCGGAGTCCTGGTCAGCCGCAAACGGCCTAGGCTTCAACCCAGAGAAATGCAAGGCGATGCACCTTCGCACACCAGAGGCGATGAAAATTAGCTACACTCTTAGCAAGTATGCAGTCATCAGGGTATCCACACAGAAGAACCTAGGACTAGACTTCTCTGACACATTGGATGCTACTGGCATTTGTAAGGGAATGGCAGCAAAGAAGGAGGCCATTACGGACTTTCTGAGATGGTAGCTTGGATTGTTAACCCCGGAATTATTCCTTATGGTACTTAAAATATGTGTCAGACATCATCTAGAGGTGTTCAGCACGATAGCCCCCCTGCTAAAGAGAGGCGCAAATACTCTCGAGGCGGTACAGAGAAGAGCAACAAAGTCGGTCATCGAACTAACAGGTGGAACATATACGCAACACCTCAGACAACTCAACTTGTCCACACTAAGCCATCGAAGAAAACGAGGTGGTCTGATAACAGCCTACAAGACCATTCACCAAGTGGACCACCCAAGTAAGACAAAGTTATCGGTCCAAGATCGACAGTCCCGTGGGAACCCCACTCGCATACCCTTCCATAGGGCAAAGACGAGAGTGAGGTCTGACTTCTCCCGTGGATTGTGTGCCTTATGGAACACTGCGTCGAAGGAAGTGGCCACAGCTACACCAGTCGACTCCTTCAAACAACTGCTGGACGAGTATGTGAGCGCAAGTGACTCACTACGAACGTTTGTCAGTAGCGGCAGGTGATACACCATTACACCTTTGCATTCCCCAACCCTAGTATCTGCAATGGAACGCATCTCTCCTGCATATGATTACCAGCTACATTTATCTTCTTATAAGTACTTTTCGATCCTCTATTTCCCACCCTCACCCACCCAATTTCGGTCACTTTTTAAGTAAGGCTTAACACCTACTTGCAGGTGTCTATCTAATATCCAATATCTTCCTAAAGAGCTTGTGCAAACCGGTTGATCTCTTCTTGCTGGCTTCTTGGTCTTGCGGAACGGTCCCAGGTCTTTTGCGGTTTGCGATGCAGTGGATCCAGCCACCCGCCTGCTATAGCTCTGATTTACAGAACAGGAATCTGACGGTGCTTGTAAACTGGTATCCCTAGTGGTAAACCCATTATATGAGGATAATATTCATTATTATCTAAACTTTAACACTCTGTATGCGCTGAAAAGTGATATCTTCTTGTTCGTTTCATAACTAGCAGGATATTCTGCCCTTTTTAACGGAGTTCGATGACATCCTGTCTGTACCATTCAGGGCTCACAGTCTTGTAGATATTTTGAGGTATATCAGCGTGATGATGCCTATAAATTGGCTTCTCTCATGTTAAGTTTTTTAATGTGAGAATGAAACAATCATTTATTTATTTATTTGAGCGTCGGTTTGTTTGCCTTGGACCGTGATGCAGTTGGCTTCTTCAGATGTCGAGTTGACAGGCAGTTGTTCGCACTGGTCGCTAGAGAGGGTTGGAGATAGCGAGGAGAAGATCTGGAAAGAAAAAATTGTGTGAGTAAAAGGGGAAAGAAAAGCGAACCAATGGAGTAATCTACTTACACCCAAATAAGGCGAGGAGGGGTGCAAAGGCATGAAGAACTTAGGTAAGTGAGGCTAACTTATGGCAAGCGGAAGGGATGAAAAGGGCTTAAATGGTTACAGTGGAAAGAAAACTGGTTGCAGAGTTAAAATGGTCGGGGCGGCTTGACATCGGTTGATCTATTCTGTTTAGTCCGTGTTCCAGCCATACGCGGGTAGACCATGGGTCTGTGTTTGGCTCGGAGGGAGAAGTGTGAATGCGCATGAGTTTCCGATCTCAGGTGGGCTATTCTGTTGGGGTTTCCTTGAGGATCTCCGTGGTAGTGTTCTTCTGTTCGGGTGACTTGGGTTATTCGGTATTTTGTGGGCCACTATCAAGTCTCCTCGTAACCTTCGATAGCTAAGAGAGTATAGGCCTGGGTCTTTCAGTCAATCCTCATATGGTTTTCGTTGCATCCCAACAACCCCTTTTGTGGCTGGCCTCTGAGCTTCCTCCAGTAGGTTCGTGCCACTTTTCAGTAGCTGGGGAATGAAGAGGTTATGGACCGCATGCAAGTCTTGTAGAGCTTCAGAAAGAGCTCTGGTGTGAGGGCACCTAGTTGTCTACGCACAAACTGTAGTACGCGATATGCCTTTGAGGCATCATCTAGGCAATTGGAACTTGTGTCCAGTTTCTACGTCCCCGTTAAACCCAGTCCTTTTTCTGCTGTGGTATGGGATAGACATGAATTACAGGGACAGTAGGATACTTTCTGGGGATTAGGAGTGCGGAAAAACATGGACCGGCACTTATCCAGGTTAAATGCCAGTTCGTTATTAGTCCCCCATCCCCCCAGTGTTTTGAGATCGTTCTGTAATGCTTTCGATTCCGCTTTGCAAGTTATTGCCCTCCATAAGTTGACGTCATCAGCGTAGAGGAGGATCAGAGAGCTGATATGTAGCGGCAGGTCATTCACGAACAGTAGTAACAACAGTGGACCCAGGATTGCTCCTTGTGAGACACCGGATGAGGATGTTCTCTAAGTTGAGTAGACCCGGTTGACTCCCTATTACCCAAGTAGTTCTGCAGCCACGATAGCACCTGGCTGCGTATACTTAACCCAGCCATCTAATGTATTAGGATGGTGCGTGAGACAGTGTCAGAGGCTTTGGCGAAGTCCAGAAAAATTGTGTGGGCTGGGACAGTGAGATCCCAGCATGCTGTCCAGTGATCGTGGGCTGTCAGGAGGCTTGAGACACAGGACCTACCCTTCCGGAAGCCATAATGAGCGTCACTGGGTGCTTTTTTCTTGTCCAGATATTCCCCGATACGGTCGTCCATCACACCTTCCACAACTCTGGATATTACCGGTAGAAGTGCTGTGGGTCTAAAACAGTTTGAATTCTGCTTGTCTCCTCCTTTGAAGATGGGAGAAAGGATAGCCCGTTTCCACTCTCGTGGGAGCTTTTGTTCATCCAAGGAGTGTTGGAAGAGATTGCAGAGTGAGTCACTTACGGTACTTGCACATTCTTTCGATGCAGATGGGCGGATGTTGTCGCACCCTGGGGATTTTCCCGCGCTTAGCTTTGATAGCTTATGGAGAGCAACAGTGCGTGTTATCTGTATTTCGTGTAGCTCCGCTGCGCTGGGTAACGTTGGGGGCTGTTCGTGCAGTTGGTATGCATACTCTCCTGATGGAACGTTGAGCTGTGTGTCAAATGTGGTGCTTAACACTTTAGCAATCCCCTGTCCAGAGAGGTTTTCTCCGTTCTGACCTTTTATCACGCATGCTCCTTGGCCTGTCGGTTTTCTCGTCACCGTGAATCGGTATAGGTTATTGGGGAATTGCAAACTCCGTTGCCCCCCCCCCTCCAAAAAAAACAAAGCTACAATTTGCAAATAAAATTTTTTCTACTAGACAGTCACTACCTCCAAAACTATAGGCAGGAAGACGCAAAGACTTCTGTGACCATCGAAGGAGTACAACGGAACAAAAAGAACCGAGCCTCAAGACCTACAAGCGACAGCTCAGAAACTACAAACTTCCCCTACTCGCATTATTGATGTTGGATGTGACGAGTGTACGAACGGATTCATATGTGAACTTACCTCCAAATGCCTATACCCAGAATTTCAGGTGCAATGCACAAATAGGATTTCGAAATTATGACCTTCAAGTGCGCAGGTATCTCCGTATATACTGAGGATGCCCCGTCGATATATGCTAATGTTTGCTAAGCCGAAGGTAACGTCGGGTGAGACAGAAATGATCAGAGTAGATGACCTAAATTTATTGATAAATATGTATTTTCATGGTCATTTTTTTGGCATCATTTTTGTGAGCAATTTTGAATGGAATAAATAGTGTTTCGTACACATAAGGAAGTATTTTTCAAGTAGGTCGGACCAGTACTGCTTGTTTTACAAAATAAACAGCTAAATGTTTATCCTATCTGTTGATGCCTTCAGACAATTTTACGAATTGGGATGTGCCATTAGACATGCATTGGCGAATTTAAGATCATGAAATCAAGATTTGATATTTTCCTGGAAAAACTTAAATTCGCGAATACATGTCTAATGATATGTTCAGATTCGTAACATTGTCAGAAGGTGTCAACAGACGGGGTAAAATTTAGATGTTTATTTAGTACTCACCCCCCATGTTCGACTCCGTGTGTGTTTCGTTGAACTCTAAGATAGGCTTTTCTTAATGTTTTCTTCGAATGATTATCGGGGTATGCACTCCAAGCTGATTTTCATTTCGATATTAATCACTTACAGACTAGCAGCAAACTATTAGAGGAATAAGTTACATTCAAGAATATGCGTATTTCCCTCTGTTTTCGTTTGGCATCTTCACTTCCAGATCATTGAATTATTCTCTGGATGTTACAGCCAAACAGAAACTGGAAGAAAATCAAAGTAGAACCTCGCACATAAGTATGTCTCCAGAAATTGCACACTTCACAGTAGCCTGCTAAAAACAAATGAACGGAAAAAGGCTGATATCAAAGTAGACAAAGGTGTATAGCTGGAGAAAAAAAATTTAAAATAAAGATTAGTGGAAATGTTCAAGACTTGGGGCGGGGGCATCCAAGAGTGAATACATCTGTGCCATTGTGACCGATCACAGGCCATTTCACGAAGTGTCAAGCCATTGACTTATGATACTGGTGACCCCAGCCAAACAGTATATACCTCCACACGCCTCAGACCAACAGTCACAAACTTCATCGACTGGTGTTAAGCCCTGGTCTAGCCTTCCTCCAACCTAATCCAAGTTTTGCTAGCGTTGTATGTCAAGGTAGGCTGTGGGCCACAATGTACAATACATGTCTCAGCCACCTTAGTTACTGAAGGTTCACAACCTCATCAGTCGGCTTATCTGTCTCACCTACTACCCTTAACCTGACCTCTATATTACTAACATAGTGATTCCACCGTACGTAAGCCATGCTACGATGACGCCTATCGTCAAAAAAACTAGTATCTGCACATCTGTTGAAGGCCACGTCTCAGCCGTAAAACAGGACAGAACAGGCTGCAGCGCAGTATACTCATTCTTCGATAGAGAGTCTGATATTTCGCCAGTTGGCGCTGCAGATGACGTGGTTTGGAAAATGCTAAAAGGGTGCTGTATGTCTGAGCTGTGGTCCCGTTAGCAACTAGTCCGCTCGGGTTGATGTGACTCTCCAAGTAAGTGGAGTGATCGACGCATCCCACCAATTGACTCCCTATCCCTAAATCTAGAGCAGTCATAAGACAGTACTGAAGCTGAACATATATCAGAAATACTGATCTCTGCTCACCCTGTTCAAAAACCCTACATGTTGTCAGCATCTTCACTTAGTAGGACAGTTTCTTCTGCCTACTGTAACTCAACCACATGCTTTCTCAGGAGTGTAATAATCGCCGTGAAGTTCGACTTACCTAAGATTATGTCCATTAATACATCCACAAAGAAAATCAACAGTAACGATTACAGTGAGCAGCTCTAGTAGACATCACAGGTTGTCATGGATTCAGATGACAACTCGCCATAAACCCTAATAAGTCTGTGAGTTCGAATAGGGATCTATGATTAGCGTTACGTACTCACTCAGGACTCCCTTAATAGTTAGATGTTGCCATAACACCTTGCTATCAACAGAGTCAAATGCCACCTTCAGTTCAATAAATATAGCAAGTGTCGATCACCGGTAAGCATACTTGGATTCCACAACCTTACGAAGAGTGAAGATTTGATCAGTGCACCCTCATACAGTTCTGTCTGAAACCTGCTTGGTTTCCTCCAGTATGCTGTTCTCGAGCTCCAGTTAGGCGTTGGATAACTGTGGACCCAAGTATGTTGAACACAATGTCAATCAGCTTGATTCCCCTATGGTTGTCACAAGAAGACATTCCTCCCTTCTCATAGACTGGAATGATTGGTGAAGTAGACCAGTTTGACGGCTTTACCTCTGGCACAGTAAAGGAAATGGTATGACGGCAACAGAGAGTGTTGGACCGATTCGGTGCTAGTTATGAGACTGAGCCTAGTCCATATCTTAAATGGATGAGCACTATACATGTGTCAATGCACATCTGTTAAACCTTTTCTTGAAGCACTAACACGAGTATCACAATCTAACCTAGATTCACTTTATTGCTTCCGAGAAACGAACTCGTTTTTAGTAACTTCTGGAACGGCAATAGTTTACGCTGGGAAGGTTTGTGTAGACGTTCACTGGAGGATAAAACTGACACTGCATATTCTTTGATAAGTTCCATGACTTTCAAAAGAAGTTTTGTATATTGACAAAAACTGATGGTATAGTCTTCACCAAAATTATGTGCGGTTTTCTGTAGTTTCCAGAGCATATTTAACTCCGTTAGAGGCATATGTGGCTGGACGTTGGCAGTCACTCAGAACAGCTCGAGGTCTTCGTTATGGGATAGTTCAAGCGCATAGTCTCATTTTTCTTTTGAATAATCGGGACCATCGATTGGATTTTTTTTTACAAAACATTGATGTCTCGGATATATTTGTAAGTAGTTGTGCTTCTATTGTTTTCTGTGTCCCAGATGATAAAATTGATGATTCTTTACCAAGTAAAGGTGAATCAAAATCGACACCTCCTATTCAGATGTCTTCACTTGAAGTTCGGGACGAAATATTCCCCCACACTTATTTATTATCGTACTTTTCTTGATTTTTACGTAATTTGCTTCCATTCAGGGGGCAAGTCACTCGATGGTGTTGTGAACTTTTATCGACTTCCTTGCCTCATCCATTTGTTGCGTGCACTTGGCAATCGTTTACCATGATTTCGAAATTCAGCCAGAGGAAGATTAGATCTGAAAAAAAACTGAAAGTGATTGAACCAAGAAAGCTCAATTCCCTGGATGTGTATTTGAGTCACGTAAGAAGTGTAGGCCTCTTGGTTAAAGACTGTGGATGATGTGGCTCAGAGCCGACGATGGTGGATAAATTCGCATATACACTTGGTTGAATGGTGTTTATCTGATGGAATAATTTTTGATTGCACTTTACATATGGATTGATGTTTTTCTTCATTTTTGTTTCAAATATTTTGAATACAGATGAAATATGTAATGTGATGCTATATGCAAAAGATCAACCAGTCCTGGAATTAAACATCTCTTGTTTGCATAATGCCCATTAAGCGATCATCTGGACGTTTGCCGCCTGTCAATACACGAAAGTAAGTTTATGTTTACTTGTTCTGACCCAATTAATTCATATTTCTTTCCTCTCTTTTTCGCGTATTATAGAACCTACGAATCACCAGCGATATCACCACCTATAATCAAGCATTGTACTTTTCCTGTTGTGCCGAAATTCTCCAGTTTATCATTTCTTCTACTCAGTTTAATATTGTGCGTAATATCGACGATAATTCAATATGTGAATCTATACAAAACGGTGTGGTGGCTACCGAACTCATCCATTGAATATGCTATAGTAAGTGAAGTGTAAATAAAACTTTATCAGTCGATAGGAATTCGACTTGATCGACTATCATGGGTTGGCGCATATCCTGTTTATGCTGTGCACTCCATATCTTTATTTCATGCTTATTAAGGTATGTATTTTTTAAAAAGGAACGTGAGTTATATTCTCTTTCTACGCTAGCTACTCTTGCAAATTTTATTACTAGGTAGCAAGAGGCTGGTGATTTTAGAATTCATAATGCATAACTGTGTGATCATTTTCATCTTTTTAGTTTCTATAAACAACTTTGTCATACTTTATTATTTATTGAGAGCAAAAACAGTACGGTATAGGCACTGATTGATGCTCCCTCTAAAGTAATACAGCAACACTAATAAGTTTGAAAAGTGATATGGAAAGAGGAAAAGAGAATGGAAACAACGATAAAGATGTAGTATTAGAGATACATTCGAAGTATTCACTACTTTGAAATGTACTTCCCAGCATGATCGCCATGTATAGTATCATCTGAAATTGAGTTGTGTAAGTTCTTGGACTCCATCCAGGTCACGAGGCACCTACAAATGCTAACTCAATGCAGCCATGGCTTATTCTACGGCACCACATCATAAATTCACCATATTGCTGCTTTTTATAGCTAGTCCCAGAAAGAGCAAACAATGAGCGGTATGGGAGCCTCTGGAACGATATTTGTAACACATGTCTAAGCCATTGAAGCCGGTGTTTTAGGATGACCACACCCAATGATTGACAGTGTGAATCACACCTAAACACATGTTACTGCTCCTCAATTTGTTATATGGTATTTTCACCTGATGTGAGGGTGCTTACGGAGACAAAGGTAATTAAACACGTAGAGTCCTTGGATATTTTCAGCTCGGATAGGCCAGGTTTCACAGGCGTATAACGCAACTGCTTTAGCTGACGTGTTACATACCCTACCTTTTACAGCAACGTAAACGTTACGGCAGTGTTGAAGGTGACCCAGATTTGATTATGCATCTCCAGCTTTTAATATACAGTTTTAATTGTCATTAGTTATACATCTACCTGCACTATTACAACTACTCAGGTAAAAAATTTCGACGAATTCAAACGGTTCACGATCAAATGTAAGTGCAGGAACAAGCTGTTGGCGGTAATCTTGGAGAAGCACTTTGCACTTGTTTTATTTACGGAAACTAATTTCCTAACCTATTGAGTGCGATTCCAGTAGCTTTTAGGTTGTTGGTGAGTAAGATGATATCGTTTACTCACTAAAGGTTGAAAAGTTTTTCACATGGTAGCAGGCCTATACCACTACGTACCTCCTTCACAGCTACCTCGAGAATGCCATAGTTGGTAAAGTTAAAGAGAAATAGCGCAGTCAAGCAGCCCTGGTTAGCCCCAATTTCACTTTTTTATTACTGAAAAGAGATGTAAGCCTTCACTCTACATGAGCTGTTTAAACATAGGACCTGAAAGCTGTTCAAAAACTTCTCAGGGATACGCCTCTCTAAGGGACAATTCCAGAGTACAACCCTGTCGAACAAATCAAATACATCCTTAATATCGATAAATACAATGATTACTGACCTGCAATACATGTAACGATGTTCAAGCATCTAGTAAAGGGTGAACACGGGATCAATGCATCCATGAACTGAACGAAACCCGGCCTGCTCCCCTTTGATCAGATTTTCGAGCGTTTAAACCACCTTGCCGAATATGATAGGAGTTAATACTTTTGACGCTACCAGTAACAGACTGATGCTATGATGATTATCAAATGCATTCCACAGACTTTTTTTAAAGATCGGTACAGCATTGGCTTCATTTCAAAGTGGTAGATAACTCGCAGTCTGCCATGCCTTCACATCCCTTAAGAAGGGATAAATTGTTTTAATCAGATGCCTTATTGCACTTCAGTGTTTAGATTTCCTTATGGACATCCTCTTCTTTAAAGGGGTCAGTATTAACCTACCATGGAACACATGGCACTGAGATCGATGTTACTAAAGCATTAGGGCAAGTAAATTGATTCTCAAAGAGCTTCGTCCAGTGTTCCAGGCTGGTTTTACCTTCATGACAGTGACGTGTTATATGAAGATATATTGTTGATCTGTTGTGCACAATCATACATACCTGTATCTCATTCAAACCATTATTTTCTGCGTTGAAGTTTACCTGTCACCACTGAGTATGAATAATGTTAGAATCTGGATGAAGAACCTCTTAATTTAATTAGTTAATCAATGAACTGTTTCGTAAAATCTTTACTTGTGTATTAAACATCTTTTACTCACTTCCTTCTATCTACACACCAATGCATAAACAAATTTTCCTTTTTATCTATATTTATTTCGTTAACAGATCATTCCATCATTTATATTGACATCATTTGTGATAAGCTCAATTCTTGGTTTCTTTATTTTTGCCATTTGGAGCTACGTTGTGCTATGGATTGTAAATCGTATACAATATTCTGGAGTGACAATCCTACACAATATCTCTGGAGTACTTTTATTAACGTATTTGTAAGTTGTGGCAGTTATTTTTCAGATTCACATTGAGTACTCATGATTATAACGATAATTGGTATTGCATAAATTGAATGTTTCCATGTATTTCGTGTGCATTTATTGGTTCCCCGAAATGTTTTTATATATGGTTAGAACTTCTTGTGTTTCATTTTTTTCGACTTATGAAAACAAAAGTATCGATTACCCAGCAGTATCCTCTAGAATAAATGACTAATGAAAGTCAGGAATTTCAAAAGGCTTCAGGTAGGCAGATATCGTTTTCGTGACCTCTCCCATGTGTAATAGAACCATAAAGTGAGCATTGTTGAGGTTAAACGTAAATTATAGGCTGAGGAATGTACGTCAGCTGATAAGATTGTGAACTCGCATTGTTTGAGTTAACTGAGACATGTATCATGTGCGCCTATCCAACGCCCACCTTGATGCACAGTGTTAACGAGGTAGAATTAAGTTGGAACAGCTAAGAATTTTCAGCAGCAAACATGGCAAGAACTCACAGTGTTAGACTGTTCCTATGATCTGTTTATAGAAACGTAGTTTTCCTGATTGGACTTGGTGAGGCCATTTTAATAGTTGTATACTTTAAGTTGTATGGAAGTGACTTTGGTGCATCTCTGTTTTTTCTTCAGCGAAATGCTTTCATATACCGTCAGTCCCTTTGTCTTATTTTCCTCTTGTTTCAAGAATATTCTCTACTGTTAATATCAGCTTAGTTCCTTTTCATTTCTTATCGGTCAGTATTTCGATGTACTTTTGGGATTTCCGGTAACTCAAACTGTTACATACTAGTGTCAAGTTCTACAGTTTTCTTTGTTAAACTGCCTGTTTTTAAGTGTGTATTTGATTGTCTTATATTAGCTGGTTAGGGAAGAGGCTAGTGTTTGAGTATAAATCTTATCTGGAACGTCGTCTAGGGTGCGGACACATTCAACTGACTTGACATACACAGGATAACATCAGCCCTCCTAGATTTTAATACTATTACCAAATACTCACTTTTGGGTTATATCATGTACTGAATCGGACAAAGCATCATAAAACCTAGCATGTGCTTACTTTATTTCAAGTTGTCTTACTTCCTAGCTGCACAGAAAAAGAAAAGTCATCAATGTATTGGTAAAACTTGGGCGTGTTAATATTCATCTGAATAAGGACAATAAATAGTGTCCGAAACGTTATCTAATAGATAATACTATTTCACTGTGGCACATTTAACAAACAATCTAAAATAGAAAGAAGGGTGATCTTTAGAAAAAACCTCTGAAGAAATACTAAGGATGGTGATTGAAGTTCAGGAAGAATTTCAGTCATGGTAGGATGTTAACCGCTTACCTGCAGGTTTAAACCCTATCTCCCAACTTCGGTTGTTATTCTTGTGTTCATAAATCAGTCTACCTACAGAAACGAGAAATAAAAAGATCTCCAGGAATCGTAGAACGGTAAGGTGTAAGTGTATTTATGATCTTGTAACCTATTTCTAACCTATCTGTCTTCTTACTTTATGCATGGAGTGTTATAAAGTTGGTATCATGTTTATATCTTTTAAAAATCTGATACTCAATGTACTCTGTCTAAATATGTTTTTACCCTAAGAAGTTGCTTATTTGTCCAGGCATTCGTCAAACATGTACACATGCACAATTGTTATACATTCAATCGTATCATCAGGATATTGATCTTATCAGATAGTGATATTGACCGATCAATTGTATATAGCATCTTAGTTACACAAACCAGTAGAGCTGAGCATTTGAGTGGCTGAGATAACTATCTTGAATTATATGTCCAACAAAAACACTGATAGTAAACTCACTATTTAATGAAATCAGTCATTCAGTCAAACAGTATGACCATATAAACATACTTAAGAGTTATTTATACTATTAACATATTTTAGGGTGAGAGTAATTAAAATTCACTGAGTAGCCGACCAAACTAAACCCTCAGTGTTAAACTTAATGCCAATTTATCTAGTTAAATTATAATTTCTACATGTAAACTCATCAGACACATATATGCTCATTTACTAAACGGAAATGCACCTATCATTTGGTACTCATCATCCTCTTAAAGCTGCAGTCAGTAGAGTAATAAGGTGTCTAAAAGGGACTGGTTGCTTGGACATTTCAATCGCAATTCTTCGCACACCAGACGGTTTAGATATGATTTACCTCATTAATATTCTTTATCATAATCGTAAATACCATGACTTTAAAGAAAGGTTAAACTGCTATCACTCTAGACGGAAAGTGCTGGTTAAAATCACGTTCTGTTAGAGTTTGTGTTTATCAGTACTATTTCACGTCGCAATACTGTAAAAACTTTATTCAATCTATTCATTTCTTCGTTTTATATCAGTATGTCTTTTTAATCATAATTGTTTTTTGTTTATCCTATTCATTTCCTATGTATATTTCAGTCCTGCATTGACTCTTCTGACTTATCATTTCCGTTATTTGGAGAAGGCTGTTAGTCGTTGCACCCGTCGACAGCAACAATACTATCACAGTACTGCCAATAATGTCAATAATAATCATCAAAAAACACTATCGCGATCCTCCTTCGTTAGCTTAAAAGGTTTTCTACAGGTTAGTTAATCGATTGATGTATGTTTCTGCATGATGATCGTTTTGTGTTTTTCACTTTCTGAGTTTACCGATTCGAAAAAGATTTTGCTAATGATAGGATTCGAACTAGTGCTGTCCTATTAAACGTGACAAGTTATTTATCTGCTGATAGATACAAGGGATCCGAGACCTGTCAACATCGACATTCCTAGCTTGAACATATCCACTGACCTTTATCTTCAGTTTCCTCCTGCTCTACGTCTTTGTCTCCTTTATGTCAGACTTTTCCTATCCATTTAATCTTTGCATGCTACTGTGAACTTTGACAACTTGAACCGATGCACTTGTGTGCGAGATTCTACGTTAATTTTGCCTACTTGTTTGTATGTTTACTTTAAAAACTTTGTCTTCAGTATCGGAACTCTTTGAGGCAACAAGGGTGTTCGCAATATTTATGCCTTACCGTCGGCATTGACTTTACCATATAACTTCACTCTAGGACCTGAGTCTGACTCCTTTCAATCTCATCACTCTCTAGCTTGCAGCTGTGACTTGACCTCAAAAAATAGGAATTTTAAACGAAATAACTCGTTTGCATTACTATAATCAAAAAGCCTTTTTAATCCATTGAAGTAACGGTTATAACTAAGTCCTTTTGCATACTAATGCTTATGTGACAGCGTTACTGTGGTAATTCCTACATCCTTGGAAATCTCCAGTCTTCGTTAGATCAGATTTATCAATCAGATATTTTTAGCTTTTGTCCTTTACCTCCGTTTTTGTGGCATTTCCGTGCACATCATATTTTCTGTATTCCGTAAAACTGATTTATTCATTGGTCAATGTTGCTCTTAATAAAACAGTTTTGTTTTTTCTTCAGATGGTGTCAAAGTCAGTGTATTTTTCGGCGAATGATGTAAACGGTTTAATTCTTTCTTGGGATACTAAAACATAGTAAAAGTCTGCCTTCTCTTTCTGCACTAGTTAGTAGTGGTGAACCTTGATACAAGTCCATTGTTGCGTTAGTTGTGTATCTGATAGTGTTTTGGTGTGTGTCATTTATCGGTTACCGTCAGAATATGACTCCTCATTCGTTAAATTAATCAGCGTACTTCTGGGATAATGTAATCGTAAGGTATTGAATGAATGGTGTATACAATCAGTCGGTTTTCGTTGTAATGTTTCAAACATCGTAAGCCGTAACAATTTGAACCTCGCTCCATCTATCGAGGGCTAGGAAGTTAGGTGTCGTTATTTGTTCTAACATGATAAGTGTGGCTCATTGCCGCCTACGTGAATGTGCACGTGGTTGCTGATTTGTATGTCTTTTCTCTCCTCTTATCGGTGGACTTAGATGTGATGATCTAGTTTCACTGCCAAGTTGTAGGTTATTGGATGCACAGTTCACCCTAACTACTCCTTAGTCAATAAATAACAGCTAACCGAAGCACGTCTTTTTAGTGTTTCGTAAAAATGCGGTGCAAAATTTCCGATCTTCATTCGAAAAATATTTCCCTGCATAGTCTTAGTTACTGCTGCTTCTCAGTGTCAGAAGCTTGTCTCTGGTCCGCGTATCAGTGATAATCACTTAAAAATGTTTATAAAAAGCTATGCCTCTAGACAGATTTGGGATTGTTATTATGAATGTAAGAAAACAACACTTGCATTTACATAAAGAAAAACAACAAATTATACTGTGTCATCGTGTCGACAGTTGAATCGCTAAGGCTACTGCCATGTGTCGCTTCTAAAGTGTATTTCTCTCAGACTTCTGACTGTTGGAACAGGTTATCAAACTTACTTCGGCTGTCTTATTTCTTGTAATTACTTAAAACTTCAGACTAAAAGTGCATTTTAAAGCCTAGAGTATGAATGTTCTCATGATTATTGAGTTTCTTGACTTTCGTTTTATGGAAATATTACCAGTGCAACATAACATTTAGAAGATGCTAACTTCCCCTAACCCTTAACGAAATCAATTCTCGTTTGTGTGATATACAGATGGTTGATAATATCATCTTACAACGACCAAGGAGGCATTCTTCAGTGTAACCGATGGAGAAGCGAGATGCATTTAGTGTTCAGGTATTTCCTTTACAAGGGAACGTAATTTTCCTCGTACTGCAAAAGTGTACATTAATCATAGGTTATTGTCCCTCAAATGTATAATTAATACTCATTTTATGATGCGGAGTTGTGAGAACGAACGGAAATAACTAACGATTGATAGTCGAGGGTTGAGATCATTCAACCCGAGGGATTCGCAAAGAGAAATCAAAAAACTGGAAATCGGACGAGTTATGATATCTCGGACTGAAAATAAACCCTACCTACAGAATTCATAGTAACCTTGAAAGATAAGGAATAATTAGTACATTTAAAGAAACAGGAACCAATCAGAACACCAGCGTGAAGTAAACCAGTTCAAATATATACAAACGGTAAGTATGGAATATAAGGGATATAGGCATCTTTGACAACTCATTATAGCAGTATATTGTGTTGCTATAAGCATCATTACCAATGCGAACCACTGCACCACGGATTTAATTCAGTTATACTTTAGTGATTTGACTGAACCACTCTAATTAGTAGTATTATCAACTCTCAGGTATTCTGTGTGACGTTACAGTTGTAGTGTAGAAATCTACCTATCCGTTTACTGGACTGCAATTATTGATTTTCTCAATAACCTACTTTATCTATCTGTAGAAAAAAGGAGTTCCATAATATTATTCCAATATGTTTTTCATTTTCATATCAATCCACTTAAGTTTTGTCAGTGATGCACAGATAAGTAAGCATGCTAGGACTTGTATTAAGTTAGTGGCTTACCAGAGAAGAGTTATGCAGTTTCCATATGACTTTTACCACTTATTGTTCTAAAATTTCATTCACATACATTACCTCAAGAGTGGTTGTTACACACTATATAAAACCACTTATAACCTGAGATTTTCACTGTTTCTTCGATATAAGTTGATTTATGAGTGGATCCTGTTTTTCTTTTGTGTGTACTTTCAGTTACCACGCTGATAAATTTTGACACCAGCCTGTCAAAGCCGATAATATGGTCTATAACATCACTTTGTTGTGCAATCCATTTCTAATTGCATCTCCTCTAACGACTGGCTACTAGTTAACTGTGGCTTTCTGAGCTTTCTTCAGTTGTTATTGTTTCATTCGCTGTATAAAATTTACAAGTTTGATTTTACCTTAAATCATAAATGAAGTAAAGGGAGAGGCTGTTGCATTTTATGCTCATGATGGCGAAGTTCAAGTTCCAAATGACTAGAATCAATCGAAATAAGTTATGGATCTAGGTTTTATGCTTGTCCGATATCACCAGCAGGCAAATAATTGGAATGAAAAGATAATCGATGCTACTTCAGCGCCAGTTGCGTAGTTTGTAAAGTTCACAAAGTTTTTACGTATAAATATTTAACTACTAATAAGTAGTTCGTTTAAGAAACACATTTTCCTCGTGTACATTTACAAAGTATCGATGCTAGCCACTACCCATCATTACTAGAAGTGTACATATCCTAAAGTTTATTAGAAACTGCTGCATGTTTAATGTCCATCTTTTAATTCGTTAGGGGTTTCATATGCGTAGATATCGATAAATATTATGACCTAGAAACAGTGACTTCCTATAAAAACTGACAATGTGAATCCCCATAAAAGTGCATCGACAATTGCTATCTTAATATAACAACGGGTTTGCCTATTTCAGCGAACAAGTTGAGGTGTATTATTCGTAAAGATTTTTAGTGCAGTTACTACGACGTCATAAAACTGAAAGTATCTAACATTGTAGCATAAACATTTGTAAGTTAGTGAACATCCGACAGCAATATCTTATTATTACACGGATTGGTATGTAAAGTTTTTCTTTCGATTTCCTATTCTGACGCGGAGAGGGTTATATTTGAATGGGATAAAGTGGCAAATATCTCTTGGTTTCTATATTCACACAACAATAATGTAGTTTTTCCTTGCATTCCTCAAGGGAAGACCAACTGTTACACTATGAATCGACGAAAGGTATTGATTACCCTCATTTAATCCAGCGCATAGTTGTCTGCCTAGATCGTCACTAACCCTCCTATATGAACAATATCACAAAGTGCGCTTTATAAAGCTTGAGTTTTTTTAAGCCTGAGTGTTAAGCATACCACAGAAGTCAGGCATAGAGTTTTAGGGAGAAGAGGTAAGTCAGTTGACACAGTTTTGAACCTTCATCAACTGGGATGGTTGGGACTGTGTTACATATGCCTAGTCGCCGTCTGCCTCGTCACACAATGTTGTGAGAAGTAGGTTCAGGCTGGAAAAGGGCTCGAGGTGGCCATACTAAAAGATGGCATTAATGTGTGAAATGTTTGACTGTTGGTTTGAGCCATGTATGGGTATGCAGACTGGATGTTTGGAGTGCATGGGACAAGAGAGACGAGTGATTGGAGAGTGTAGGTGATGTGGCTGAGAACCGGAGTCGTTGGCGCAGATGTATATGCATATTGTCCTTATCTTAATGACGCTATACGGAATCTCACCATTTTCTCATTTTTCCTTTCTCTCTTTCATATTTTTTTTTTGACTGAATTTTCTTATCTTCATCTTCCACTTTACTGGTTTTTTGCTTGATGTGGTGATATGAGCTGTGGGAACTTGGAGCGTTACGTAGTAATGTCTGGTCTTATGTTGATTTGGATGTATGTTAAGCACACCTTAAAAAGTAAAAAATGATAATTTCCAGTGATGCATACCTTCCTTCTCTATTTCAAGGCACTGACTTTCCAGTTTTTGTACTACATTTCAGGCACCAAAAATGTGGAAGGCATAAGGAAAGGTTTCACAGCATACTATTTAGTGTTAATAATTTGTTGAAGTGGTCAAATATTATTTATCTTGATCTTTCTAGTTCTTTTAGAAAAGCTTTCGTTAGTATACCTAGAATAATGGAATCAGCCTATTGACCTTATTATTGTGGCTAATTTCGATCCATAAGTTGTCATAAGACAGTGACAAAAATTACGACAATGACGAAAGGGGAACAAAGGTCATGTGTGCTGGGATTTTAGCTAGTTGAGTTGGGTTAACAGTGATGCATGCCATCTTATATCATTGATCATCGGCTTCTCTTGTCTCAACGATCTTATTTGAGAACTTATGGTTTCTCGCACAAACACCTTGCCAGACGTATTCAGTTTTATAGATTTGAAAATTACCTTATTTTGATAGTAAAAAGGCTACGCTCACTCGTTTTCTGCTGGCTTAGTCTACGTTGATTTGCTTTTACATTGCATATCTGAAGTTCATCAACTTGTAAGTATTCGCCCTGTTATCGAGTATGTCATCTGCTGAAGTTAACCTATAAAAACGTAATAACAAATCACTAAGTGGTCTCCTCCTTCTCCAATCGCTTCACTCTGTGCAGTCAAAATAGGAGTATGTCACTTAGTATTTATGAAGAAAATAAGTGAGTAGAACTTTCATTATATCATCTAGATTGTCATCAGTGGATGGATTATGAACTGTAACATTGAATTATATAAGAAACGCTTTGGATGTGTATGTATGCAATCATATATATTATGGCTATACCAATCGATATGTTAGAAAAGTAAGTACTATGTGTAGGGGTATTCGGCGTTCATTAGATTATGCTTACTTAGTTTATATGAATGCACCTTTAAAGATACGTCAAAGCACAACATAATAATATTTTTGAAAATACAGTTCTTAAAGTATGGTTGAAATGTTCTTTTCCGAAATTCCGTAGACTCCTTATTTGCTCCTGACTGAGTTATATTCTACTAACCACTGAGTGAGCTCCAGAATCTCTTTCCATTACCATAAATCCAATTCAATGCCTAGAATAAAATAGAACATACTGTACACTAGGTTTTCGGCTGTTAGGCTATTTATATGCCACTCAGACTAAATCAAAGTACATAGAGTGAGTTTCACCTTGCAATCAAGTGATTAAAAACAAAACGTCTGAATCAATGCACCACAGTGTCATAAATCATAATTGGATGAAGGAATCTAATACCTCAAGTCAGTATGTATAGTTTCACCTGTCATCTTAGAAACAAGAAACACTTATCATTATGTTGTCAGTCAACCGAAAGATTTCATTGACTCAACGTCTCTGAGGATTGAAATAACTCTAAGTCAATCTCACTGTAATAAATCCATTAATTCCACACACTGGTTAACTTATTTCATGGTTTTTAACTGTCTTAAAGAAAGCTCACCAGTCCTTTTTTCTCTATCGTGAATTACTTTCCAGTTCTCTGCAATACTTTATTCCTGCTGTAAGTTTTATCTCTTGTTAAGAGGTGCTGTAAGGTGAACTGATGCACTATAGTGTGTTGATCGGTCTGGTTTTTACCTGGGGTTTTCAAGTTTACATGCAATATCTTTAATAGGTTCTAAAATATTTGGCGATAGATATGACGATTGCATTCTTCAAGTTTTTTATTTTGATTATGTTATCTAGCTGCTTGTTGACAGATGGATCAACATGAAACCTGGCAACCAAACTTAGTATCTAGATTTTCACTAACTAAAATTTCATATTAGGGTATAATTGCGACTACATTTCGATTGTTTCCATAAGTCATCTTTCTTTTCTTGTCTATACTAATGTCACTTTTAGATCATATCATCTTGCCTCAGGCGATCCATTGCAATATTTACAGACTGGCCATGCCTTTCTTCAAAGAATATATTTTTCCCATTATCGTATTCATCTGTATCATCTTTTCGAATATTAAAAGACAATTCATTAATTCAAACTGCTTATTATACAATGGATTTAAACTCTAACAACCTTGTTCTACTGAGTCATCAGTGTTTAGGTGCGACACCTGAACAAATACGTGATGAAGTGGAATTGCATCGATGTGATTTCAATGCTAGAATGACAGATATTTTAATTGGTACAGGGCATGCAGTGTACTATGGGTGCTTTTTACCAATCATTTTTGTACAGGTATGTGTATTTTAAATAACTTCTTTTAAAATTTGTATCCAGTATAAATCATGACAACTAGAAATGCATTTAGAAAAAAGAATCATAATGTATGCCAATGCTAGAAGTGATCAGTTTATGGCATTGTACCTTAAAGTAAAGAACGATTGAGTTAGTTGTGTGTCTATCAGTGCATTTCAACCAGTCGAATGATAGTATCTAGAATACTATGTTACCCAGTGATATGAAAAATCAATCTTACTTAGTAATCCATCATATTTACTGTTTATTCGACTGTTTTCAATGGATAGTATTCAAAGTCGTTATAGCATTGACTCAAAATCAGTGTCCTAATTTGAATAGAATTGCTAATCGTTATTGTCATGCGGGTTATTCTATGTAAAATAGTACTTATCACCCCTTCTGGTTGTGAAAACACTTCGTATTATATAAAAAAGAAGGAATCACTACTAACTAGATAACATTAAAGAGCCTTTACGAAGCTATTACTCGATGGTTTACGCATCTAACAATCGTTGGATCACAAATTCTTAACCGTTTCACATTTTGTAAGTTTGTAACCTTTATTAGAGTATCATAGGCTTCCATAACTTTGCTTGTGTGTGTGTGTAGCTGTGAAGTATAGCAACTTGAAGTCATACACTTCTTTGCTCAGTTCTGCGTTGATTTGTCTGTTTGTCTCAGATGTGTAAGAGGTTGATGAACAGCTATTTCATCTTATATTTAAGCCCATCAGCAATAAATAACTTTGGAGTGTCCAAAGATGAGTAGTGCGTACAAGTTTTGTAAAAAGAAGCCAACGTTCATCCAGTATCTTTTAGATCATAGTCGTTCAGTGAATAGCGCCAACTTTTTTAATCATAATTTATCGATTTTCATTATTTTTTTCTGATTCATTGTATTATAGAAAGAACATTTGTATATAGATTACTTATGGTGCCTTCAACACTGTTTACTGACCGCTCTATTAGTCTTTTTGTTACGTTGGCATTATCTTCTACCATATGATTATATTGATTTATTGCACCGAAGTTCTATGCACTTGGGAAGTTGGGAGAGTGTACTGATACGTAGCGGGTTGACACACACTACAGTATGGTCAGCATCTGTTGTAAGTTTGTTGTTACAGTTTTCATTTGTTGTCTTTTTTCTGCTTCTTTTGTCATTGCCCAGGTCATTGAACTGTCGTCTAGACAATAGCTTTTATGAATAGCTGACATCATTCTAATGTCAAAGAATTGAAATCAGTCGGTGAAAGACTTACAAATGTTGCCGAATGACTGTGTTAAATGGAGTACCGACAATTATGAAACCGACGTCTTCAGTCGTGGTTTACCCACCCTCCGGTTTCTACCAAATCACAGTTTTTTCGAGATGGGTTATAATTAGGCGTTCACAACGCATCTTCCTGTCACTTTATAATTTTACCTTCTCTCATGTGTCAAATGCGATTGAATTTAAGATAAAACTATTATAAGATTGTTACTGATTATGATTTCATTACATAAACAATATACAGTCAATTGTGGCATAAAAGTATATGACTGGAAGCTTATATGCTAATCCTCCGAAAAAGAAGCTGTCGCTTAGATAGCGAAGCGTTCAGAAAATACTCATGTTTGATTTTATAAGCACTAATTTTATTTAAAAATATTTTCATGTGTATGTGGTGACTAATTAATTCTAAGTTAGTCCTATTCTAAGCTAGAGTAGCTTTTTTAAGCCTGAGTGTTAAGCATACCACAGAAGTCAGGCATAGAGTTTTAGGGAGAAGAGGTAAGTCAGTTGACACAGTTGTGAACCTTCATCAACTGGGATGGTTGGGACTGTGTTACATATGCCTAGTCGCCGTCTGCCTCGTCACACAATGTTGTGAGAAGTAGGTTCAGGCTGGAAAAGGGCTCGAGGTGGCCATACTAAAAGATGGCATTAATGTGTGAAATGTTTGACTGTTGGTTTGAGCCATGTATGGGTATGCAGACTGGATGTTTAGAGTGCATGGGACAAGAGAGACGAGTGATTGGAGAGTGTAGGTGATGTGGCTGAGAACCGGAGTCGTTGGCGCAGATGTATATGCATATTGTCCTTATCTTAATGACGCTATACGGAATCTCACCATTTTCTCATTTTTCCTTTCTCTCTTTCATATTTTTTTTGACTGAATTTTCTTATCTTCATCTTCCACTTTACTGGTTTTTTGCTTGATGTGGTGATATGAGCTGTGGGAACTTGGAGCGTTACGTAGTAATGTCTGGTTTTATGTTGATTGGATGTATGAATGGAATACATCGTTTACACTGACCTGAACTATTTTATGAAGTAAAGGTTCCAGTAACTGTATAAGTCATTTTGGTGTTAAATGAACTTGGTGAATTTGACATGTCAAGAATTCGACGTAGCAATCATTCCGGTGTAGGAACATTTAGTAAGCCCTGTACAACCTTAGGCATCGCCTGTGCATTATGTATGTTTCTAAATCTAATTCAACAATGTTCTCTTCTTTTTTGTCTTAAGTGTAATTGTATTGGTTTCCCTTTGTGCAGTATATTTACGGCTTTGGTTATAGTCTTCTCTAGTGCCTTACATTCATTCGCTGTTTCATAGTAAAATTCATTCACCTACAAAGAATTAAAATTCACTCGACATTAGGTGATGAATGATGCCTATTGTCTGAGGGTTAGTGATGTACTACCTGGTTGCCCTAACCTCTGTAGTTGGAGTTGACTTCGAACCCGTAACCTATCGGTTATGTTTACGTACGTCGTATACACATTTGTCTGAATACTTTGAAACCCTATTTGCGTACTTGGCGATCAATGCGATGCAGTGTATAAGATACATCTTTTTGAAATTGAAGTCAAGTGGAATTTAGTGACCGTACGTACTTTCCTAAATTAAGTTATAACCATATCTTTATTGTAGTAGGCCTCATGACGCCGTCTGTCATCCAATCGTTGACAGACAGAGTTAGCTTAAATATGTTTCCCACTATTTGAAAGTGAAATATGTTGACGTGCTGCATAGCTGATCTGATAAAACTGATAAAACCTTCATTTAAAACCGATCTCAGCTAATTATGATCAATTCACAATGAATGAATTTAACATCAATATGTCAAAAAGGGTGGTCAGTGTTTTCTTACATTGGGTTTACTACTAACACTGCAGTCCACTAATCTGCATACAGCAGTAACATGTATCTCCGATCGTTATAGTTTTGTATCTGTACTGGGTGATGATTGAAGGTGAGATGGGAATCTGGACCGCGGCTGGATTCGAACCAGCCACCACTGGATTACCGGCCCGGTGCTCTACCAACTGAGCTACGAGGTCCGACTACTGACCAGAATTTTATTTCACTTCAATCACCAAGGCTTTTGCCCGACTATCTTGTGAATTCATGACGCGTTACTACCGCTTGATTGCATTCACACTGGCAGCCTTGTCAGAACCTCTCATCCCAATCCAAATCTACCTGAAACAGATAGGAGGAGCATCATATTGATCATGATTTGACTATCTAAGATAGCCGTAGTTTGGTAGACTAGTATTTGCACTGGGTGATGATTGAAGGTGAGATGAAAATCTGGATGTGGTAGTCGGGCAAAACCCTTGGTGATTGAAGTGAAATAAAATTCTGGTCAGTAGTCGGACCTCGTAGCTCAGTTGGTAGAGTACCGGGCCGGTAACCCAGTGGTGACTGGTTCGAATGCAGCCGCGGTCCAGATTTCCATCTCATTTTCAATCATCACCTAGTACAAATAATAGTCTGCCAAACTACGGCTATCTTAGATAATCAAGTCATAGTTTTGTATGTCTTGTTGTTTAAACAAAGGCTACTACAGTGGAAGTTGTACTTAAACTATTGACGGACACACTTGAAATCCATGAATCTGATATCTACCATCTTCTGTTATTGAAGAATACAAAAAGACGAACACATTTGAGGTTAGACCATCTAACAATGATCACAATTTTTCAAATGCTTTCATTTTTAACATGATTGTTAATGAACTCGATTTCCTTGCTGCAAATTTAAAATTTCCCACACTCAGTTTAAAAATTGTAAGATCACAATTTAAAGTAAAGAAATTTTTTGTAAATGTAGGTTGATTGCTATCATATCAGAATGTGATCTCACCTTTAAATGGTTTTAATAAATATCACTACACAACCATTTTTGAGTTCTTTTTTGTGATTTTTCTCCTAAGTGAGTTAGATATTACCGTAGGTTGCCTATTAAAAGCGTTCTAGTCTTCTTATCATTACCGTTTACCACTTTTATTTCGTGCCGGTTGAATTATCATTTTGTTGCTTGAATTTATTTCATGGATTGTGATTGTCTTTGAAACCCAACTCTCTTCGATTTGCTTCTGGATTTTGTTTCTTTGGAAATGGTTTTTTATCTTGCATTTTGTTATTATATCAAGAGCACCAACATAATCGCACATTTTATTCATCAGTGTCTCAGAATTGTACATCCAATATATGTGGGTGGGGCAGGTTATTAGGTCTTCCTCCCGAGAATGCACTTTTGTCCTATTTTTAACGTTCTTGTTTATTTTTTTATGTGCATATTTTATCTACTGACAAAAGTGTAAGTAGCATAACGTTTACAACTTAAAACTAATGCTAAGTGATATTTCTCTTGGGGGGAGTAATTGGTTTGCCTATTCATCAGGCTATTGTCCTACTACCTTTTAGCCATTTTTATGAAAAATGTACTTCGTCTTTGTCATCTTATCTAGGAAATTTTGTCATGAGATAAGAAGTATGGTTCTACACACTACTAGATGCAGATACTAATTATTTTTCAGTGCGAATCTACTGCTTTAATGTGTGATTTCATGGGAAACAAATTTGTTCACGGAAGTTTTCCTTGCATTTCACAAGGGGTGGGTTTAAATAATTATATTTATAAATGGTTTTGACCAACTATTCGTTGAACACCTCATAAGATTAGTTCCCCATTATGAATTTTAGCAATACGGGAAGAAGGTTTTAGTGTACGATGAACATATAATAATTCATTACTAATATCAGCCATGTGTTAACCTAATAACTACAGGGTATGTACAGCATCAGATAATCAGCACACCTATATTTCTCTGAGGAGGATAGTTCATCAGTGAAAAATTGATTAGAAGGGGAACCGTACAGACTAGGAAGTTTGAATGAAAGAAGTTACTAATTAAAGCCTGAGTCATTTATTGTGTATTACCAATCGCTTTATGTAATCCAACCTTGCAGCAGATCAATTATGACTTCAGTAGCTTAGTGGTAACTCTTCTGACTGCAGTACTACGTGATGCATGCTCGGATCTCTAGGGGAGTATCACTCACTTAGTGTTGTAAATATGCCTTGGTGATGACTGAAACCCAGGTCTAGGGCTTCCTGCTGATTGCCTCCAGCCACTTAGCATTCTTTCAAATTTATTTAGTCAGATTGTTTTTGTGCATTCTAAAATATAGGGAAGATTGGTGGTTATGACAAGTTAAATGTTTGAATTAAGGTGAACTAAGGTTAGGCAAGTGTGGGTGAGACAGCTACTGATTATTCATTCTCTTTCACACTGACGATTGTTTATTCGCTTTGTTACGCTTGCTTCAGTTTTTGATTTCAACCTACTTATTCACATTGTCAAATACTTCCATGTTTCTTACATAACCCCTCATTCCTACATCATTTTTTTGATTGTCAAGACAGATAGGCAGTCAAGATCAACGTAAGACCACTCATTACTGCGTAGCCGTCCAACTTGCCACACTTCATATCAGCACATCAAGCCAGGGTACCCTAAGATCAAAGATAGCAAAAATAGAGAAAAAGGAGCGAAGAAATGGTAGAAAACCGTGATGCGACAAGAAGTAATGATAAGAAAATACCGAATTCATTTGGAAGATTTAGATATAAGGATAGTGTATGGATACATTTTCGCCGCTGGGATCTCTTTGGAGCCATTTCACCTATAGTTTCCAACGACGTTTTCGTTGTCACGCAGACCCCAACCGAGAATTCTACAATTCCCTACACAGCTCAGACCAACAATCAACAATTTCATCTAGTGGTGTCGCGTTTTAGTCTGGGTGCATCGAGCCGTCTAACCTTAAC